CATGGGAATGGCTGGTTAAACCCTGGACTCGGTTACATGTCAACTGTACCGGTTCTTTTGTGGGGTCAATGTTCCTGGTCATTGTGGATGCCCATTCAAAGTGGTTGGACGTGCATGAAGTCCGTTTGGCAAACTCAGGGATGACAACTGTGAAGCTGCAAACAGCGTTTGTGAAACACGGATTCCTGGAAGTATTGGTCACGGATAACGGGACGTCATTTACCAACAGGAAATTTCCTGAAGTCAAATGGCATTCAGCACATAGGGACAGCTCCATACCATCCATCGTCCAATAGTCTAGCAGAAAGAGCAGTCCAAACATTGAAGGCCGGCTTAAAGAAGCAGCTCACAGTGTTGCTTGATACCAAACTGTCCTGGTTCCTGTTCATTTATAGGACCACCCCGCACGCAACAGGGATAGCTCCAGCACAGTTGCTGTTGGGGAGAAGACTCCGCATCAGGTTAAACCTGGTATTTCCAGACTGCCTCTAAGCGAGAGAGTCAATTTAATTCAGGGGTGACGTTTAGTGCCAAAAACGTGGAAATGGCCCTGTATAGGTACGAGGCAAAGTTGATGCAAGGTCAGGTCCCGTGACTCTCAAAGTTCGGGCAGGTGATACAGTCCTGAACAAACATGTGGATCACCTGAAAGCTGTTACCTCGCAAACGGGGCAGGAGCAAAACATTACCTGCCCCTTAGAACAGCCAGAAGGCCTGTCAGAAACCGTAAGTTGTTCTCCTCCTCCGTGTAGTGTCCAGGAAACCTCAGTCTGAGATGGATGCAGCCTTGATATGGTTACTGCCAGGAGAAGAGGAGGAAACTCTCCTGAGACACTCTGGACACAAGAGAGAGGCGACAGTACCGTACATGCTGCCCATGTCAGAGTCTGAGTCAGAGGAACTGGACCTGGGGCAAAAACATCACAGGAAAAGCAACACGAGAAAGACCAGGCCTACATCCTAGGACTTGGGGCTAGGGGGATATAGTGATCGAAACCATTGACTAAGAGGTCCTTGATTGGGGTTGTTAACCTGGGTCAATCAGGAAAGCACTGGCTGACCAATAGTAACAGGAGATTTAGAATCTCCTCAGTTCCTGGGACTGACTCTGAGCTGGGTGGCCAGAGTCCTGTGCACAAGTAAATAAAGGGTGATTCAGTGACAGGATTCTGGCCTCTGTACAGTTATTTCACTGGGTGCTCCTCCAAATGCCCATTACTACACTGACCCATGTGGCAACATCGGACCAGACTGGCAGAACATAGGGTTGTGGCTTCCTCTGGTCGTCCTGGAGAAAAGGGACATTGCTCCTCTGCATCACCCACCTTAGCAAGGCTTCCAGATCCCTGTCTGCAAAGTACAGCACCAAATTCCTCTCGTCTTCCATGATCACGACAAACATCATAAAATATGCAGGGGGGCTTCATATTGACAGTGCTTGACAGAGTGCACAACAGCCTTTTAAAGATTGTATGGTGTCAGGGAACCCAAGGTAGCCCAGCAGTGGTACTTTTGGCTATGGCAAGTGGAAGCATCAGGCCAGCACGGGACAAGATGGGCACCATAGAGCCATAATGAGATCATTTTTGGATGATAGTGAAAGAAAACTCACTAGTCTTCAAAGAACAAAGAAACAGTTCAGCACAGGGACAAACCCTCTGGCACACCAAGACTGCACTGACACATGATGACTTTCTAAACCATAAACCCTTTTGCCTCCACACAGTATGTAGCCCCCTGTTCCCTGCCTATGCATACATCTGTCAAGATGCCTCTTAAAACAGTGCTATTGTATCTGCCTCCACCATCTCCTGTGGCAGCTCATTCCAGGCACTTATCACCCTTTGGGTGAAAAGCTTTACTTTCACATCTCCTTAACTTACCCCCTTTTACCATAAACCTTTATTCCTTAGTAATTGACATTTCTACCCTGGGAAAAAGACTGCGACTATCCATTTTATCTTCATGAAGATAAACTCTCTGTGAAAGTTCAGCTAACATATCATAAGATTCAGCCCAGAGTTTTCATTCAGTATAAATTTCCAAAAGTTAGAAATTTCACTATCTCTAGCCTATTTTTCTAACGCTAGTGTAAAAATCAATCTATTGTTTTATGAGAAGTAATTTACTTTTGTAACCCAAGTAAAATTTAGTTCTGTATACACGGAGCACCACAACATTACAAAATGGGATATGACGGCCTAGTAGTATTATCACTGGACTCTTAATCCAGAGATCCAGGTAATGTTCTGGGAACCCAGCTTCAAATTCCACCATGGCAGATGCTGGCATTTGAATTCAATAAAAAAAAATCTGGAACTGAGAGTCTAATGATGACCATGAATTGTTGATTGTCAGGAAAAATCCACCTGGTTCACTAATGTCCTTTAAGGAAGGAAACTGTCATCCTTACCTGGTCTAGCCTACATGTGACTCCAGACTAATGTGGTTGACTCTTACCTGCCCTCTGGATAACTAGTGATGGGCATTAAATACTGGCCTAGCCAGTGACAACCTCATACCATCAATTTTAAAAAAAACCCAATTGGAAGGATTGAAGGGAGTATAAAAAAGAAGGCTGATTTAAAAACAATAATGAAAAATTTTAAAACAGACAGGTTGGATTTACATTTTTGGTAAGTTATTTACTTCTGGATTTACGATCGCTTACATGTTAAGATTTTAATAGCCATCTGCTTTTATAAGGCACACATACTTAAAACAGCATAACAAATCCATTAGCTATTTGAAGGGTCAGAGGAAGGAATCAGAAACCCCTTATGCCTGAAGTTCGTATGCGTTTCAGACATATTAGCACAGCACTTTCTTTGTTAAAGTCATCCCACTCAAAGTTTAGGTATAGAGCTCCACAGTTCAGGAGTAAAGTCTTTGAAATTTTTTTTATATAGATCTGCATTAGATAACATTTAACTTTAGTTTAAACTGGCATTTGCTTACAGAAGCATGGAATTACTGTGTACAGAAATGCTTCACACTTTAAGAACTTTAAAACTATCAATGCATGTTCTTTAGAGAGTGAGACAAAATTATTTCAAGCTACTGTAACAATTGCCACAGTAGTAAGCTCATCTTGATTATAAACTGTTACAAAAAGTCTTCAGAATCGTAAATATAACAGCTTAAAATTGTAATATGTTGTATTACACGGAACAATGAAAGTTAATCAAAGCAAAAGAGGCAACATTACAAACTAAATTTTGCAGTCTGAGTCAAAGGCAATTTACAGGCACGTCAGTTTTTTAACTTAGAACATAGAACAGTACAGCCCACTACAGGCCCTTCAGCCCACAATGTTGTGCCAACCTATTACCCTACTCTAAGGTCAAACTACCTTGCATGCCCTAGATTATACCATCATCCATGCACCTATCCAAGAGTCACTTAAATGTCCCTAAAGTATCTGACTCCACTACCACTGCTGGCAGCGCATTCCACATGCCCACCATTCTCTGAAAAGAACCTACCTCTGACATCTCCCCTACACCTTCCTCCAATTACCTTAAAATTATGCCCCCTCATAATAGTCACATCCGCCCTGGGTATCCACTCTATCTATGCCTCTCATCATCTTGTACACCTCTATCAAGTCACCTCTTATCCTTCTTCGCTCCAATGAGATAAACTCTAGCTCCCTCAACTTTTCCTCATAAGACCTGCCCTCCAGTCCAGGCAGCATCCTGGTAAATCTCCTCTGCACCCTCTCTAAAGCTTCCACATCCTTCCTATAATGAGGCAACCAGAACTGAACACAATATTCCAAGTGTGGTCTAACCAGGGTTTTATAGAGCTGCAGCTTAACCTTGCTGCTTTCAAACTCAATTCTCCTGCCAATGAAAGCCAACACACCATATGCCTTCTTAACAACCCTATCAACTTGAGTAGCAACTTTGAGGGATCTATGGACATGGACCCCAAGATCCCTCTGTTCCTCCACACTGCCAAGAATCCTGCCATTAACCCTGTATTCTGTATTCAAATTCAACCTTCCAAAATGAATCACTTCACACTTTTCCGGGTTGAATTCCATCTGCCACTTGTTTACCCAGCTCTGCATCTTGTCAATGTACCGTTGCAACCTACAATAGCCGTCCACACTATCCACAACTCCACCAACCTTCGTGTCATCGGCAAACTTCCTAACCCACTCTTCCACTTCCTCATCCAAGTCATTTATAAAGATCACAAAGAGCAGAGGTCCCAGAACAGATCCCTGCGGAACACCACTGGTCACCGAGCTCCAGGCTGAGTACTTTCCATCTACTACCACCCTCTGTCTTCTATTGGACAGCCAGTTTTGTATCCAGACAGCCAAATTTCCCTGAATCCCATGCCTCCTTACTTTCTGAATGAGCCTACCATGGGGAACCTTATCAAATGCCTTGCTAAAATCCATATACACCACATCCACTGTTCGAATTTAGTAAGGCTTGACCCGCCCCTCACAAAGCCATGCTGACTATTTCTAATCAAACTGTGCTTTTCCAAATAATCATAGATACTCTGTCTCAGAATCCTCCCCAATAATTTGCCTACCACAGAAGAAAGACTGGCTGGTCTGTAATTTCCAGGATTATCCCTATTCCCTTTCTTGAACAAGGGAGTGACGTTTGCCACCCTCCAATCATCTGGTACTACTCCAGTGGACAGTGAGGATGCAAAGATCATTGCCAAAGTCACAGCAATCTCTTCCCTCGCTTCCTGTAGAAACATTGGGTATATCCCGTCTGGCCAAGGGGACTTACCTATCCCCATGTTTTCAAAATTTCTAGCACATCCCTCCTTCCTAACATCAACCTGTTAAGGAAGGTGGGAACTCCTTCAAGCTGGAATTGAACCGGCAACGTAAGGATGACAGATTTACAACACACTACAGTCCTCCGCTCTACCAGCTGAGCTATCGAAGGAGAGCTCTAAATATCAGCAGAAAAGTTATTTTTCCAGCTTCATAATTGTGAACTCTGTTCAGTAAAGCCTTATACCTGCATATTCACCATTGTTTATCTCTTCTTCAAACACATCACTAAATCCTTCCCCAGAATTCAAGAGATCCAGTCGACCATCAATGAACTAAAAAAGAAAAGTTATTTTAAGACAACTGGTCAAATGTGCAACATCTTCATGAAGAAAAATATCACAGCAAGCACAGTATTTACAATTCCCGATGCTGTCAAATCACTTAATAAGGATCGACTAATGGAAAAAAATTTAAAGAATCAGATAAAAGCGAATACAAATTATTCCAACTTTACACTTCGGTTTTTAGTGTAGAATACATGGTTGAATGAGAAGATGCAGTTTAGAAAGGTTTTATTTATAAGTAGAAGTCTCTCATTCATTATACGCAGTCACTAATATCATCAGAAACATGAACACTAAATAATAAATAGTTGGCATATACAAGAAAGGCCAAGTACAATTAGAAGCTGATTCTTGCATGTTTCAAACTGAAAGAAATCTTAGATTGACTTTAATCTACTTGAACATTCTACATCATGACTGAATTTATGAATAGATTGATAGAATTTTGCAAGTTTCAAATATTAGAGTGCAGTTTGACATACAAGATAACTGTCTGTCTGCTAAATTTTCAAAATAGTGATGGGCATTATTTATATATAGCTGAATAATGGGGAAGCACAAGCAGTCTGTCCACTGAGGCTTGTGAAAAAAATGTTGAACATTAGTCTATTGTTTTCCACCATGACAGCAAATTGCAGGGTTTGGAACTCTAGTCTAGGTATTCACATGCTGGAAAGTTGTACAATTGCTATAACTTGAATATTGTATAAACAATTTGTTTAAGTATACAATAACGAATGAAATTCACTAATTTTATTCCATTTGAAGAGGTAACATCCAAAGAAAATGTTAAACTTTTGGTCTATAACATTGATGATCAATCCATCACAGCACCACAGGGCTCATCTAACTTAATTGCTGAAGCAAAAACTGTAGGTGCTGATAATATTAAAAAATTACGAGCAATATGAGAGCAGCAAAGTAGAAGTCAGTACTTCAGAAAGAAATCTGGACAATTCCTACATAGCTTATGAAACTACTAAAACTACTGCTCATAAACAGAAGTGACAGCTACATCTAATTTTCCAACACATATACAGAATTGAACTTTCAAATAAACTCCACTCCCTTTCTTTTAGTGCTGATGTTGGACTGGGGTGGACAAGGTTATAGTTCAATGGGTTTATTTGAGATTGCAAGCTTTCGATTATAACCTGGTGTCGTGTGACTTCTAACTTTGTGAAGTGATGAACTGATGAGACATTTAAGCAAACATTTTACTAGAGTCAAATTCTTTCGTTAAAAGCACCACTTACTATTTCATTTTGTTTTGATAACTTGTGTGACATTTAGCATCTTTCATAATGATTGCTTTTAATCATGATGTGGAGGTGCCGGTGTTGGACTGGGGTGGACAAAGTCAGATGTCATACAACACCAGGTTGTAGTGCAACAGATAATTTGAAATCACAAGCTTTTAAGCCAACGTTAACTATTGGAATTTCATATAGAGATTAACTTATTTCAGTCAATCTTAGTAGAGAATCTATTCATATTCGCAGTTCAGTCCAACAAAGGTGATTGAGCTGCCAACCATCTGAACAGCTTAACATTAACCCCTTACCTGTTTGAAGAGCTGAAGCTGAATCGCATTTTGCAGGAACTGCCTCATGGCACTCGAGCGGTGTGATACAAAGACATCTTCATTAAAGGTTATAGGTTCCTCCTGCAAACAATGACAAGATTATAAGGTAAAGTTGTAGACTTTATTAATTTAAAAAAAAAAATCAACCTGCTCAGAGATGGTATTACAAACTTCTGGAGCAGGTGGGATTTGAACCTGGAGTCTTGGACCATTAAACAGAAATCAAGAAATAGATGCACTTGAGCTACAATTAAAGGGTGATTGCTAGAAGCTATGCATGTTATCTATAATGAACTTTTGGAGATGCATTCTTGAATTTAAAATCAGGGGTATTTCAAAAAAAAAAGTCATATTTTCAGATAGTGTTTCTTATATCATGTCTATCATGTAAATAAATTCACTCTGCGAGGTTCAGCTGGAGACTCTGGATTTAATTTCTACAACGTCCTCATCATTACCTGAGGCAACACCCTCAGGCTTACTTGCAGCACTGCAATATATAATCTAAACAATCAAGTACCCAAACGTTCCTCAGCCTTTGAAGCATAATTTGAAAACATTCCTTATGAATGGGTATCATGACATTCAGTTGCTTTTCATTTATACCAACATATGAACAAGAAAATATCAAGAACAACATTCCTTCCAATATTTAAAGCAATTTCCACTTCTGTAACACCTCACGAAGCATGGATTATGCCTCCTCCCTTTATTCATCGCCATTAGTATCTGACTCCAAGTTTGAAAACCAAATTGGTTGTGTTGAAGTGCGCATTACATTTAGGGGTGTCTAACTTTCTCATAGTTCCTCCTCTCCACTTTCTTTTTGAGGCTTCAAAGTACATTGAATAAAACAGAAATAGCACTGGCAAACCAAACAGATATTCAAGCAAAAACAGAAACTGTTGCAGAAACTCAGCAGGTCTGGCAACTTCTGTGAAGAGAAAGCAGAGTTAATGTTTCGAGTCCAGTAACCCTTCTTCAGAACTGGGTTCCAAACTTCTAAACCATAAACACACTGAATCAACACTGTTAACTAACTTTGCAACCACAAGAAAATGGACCTAACAGCTATGATTTAATCAGCCCATCATCCTGCTTCAGAATGGCATTACTGTTAAAATATGCAGTAACAACTAGTTTCCAACCTGGTCACAATAACAGCACAATCCACTAGTTAAGATCTACATCCATCTCAGCTGACAAGAACTATTGGTCTCAGTGAAGACAATACTATATACTTTAATCACATTACAGCTAACTGCATTAAGGTACTGTCAGATATCCTTGCAACTAGACGGAATAATGCACTGTAGGATTGGGACACTCCTAACGTTCAGATGTTTGATATTTCTTTGAGAGTTGAGGCTAATTTGTAATTTTAATGAGAAAAATATGAATTCAAAGTCGAAAAGTCAGCAGCTTTCAAATTTTATAAACTGGAAATAGTGATTGCCATACAAAGACATATTTAGGTAAATGCGAGAGATAGTAGGAACTGCAGATGCTGGAAAATCTGAGATAACAAGGTGTAGAGCTGGATGAACACAGCAGGCCAAGCAGCATCATAGGAGCAGGAAGGCTGACGTTTCGGGCCTAGACCCTTCATTTCTGATGAAGGGTC